TCGCTCCGCGTGTCAAAAACCCCTGCCTACAGCGCTAACAACATCGAGAGGACTGCAAAAAACCCCCTTTCCACGAATCAATCGAACAGAAAGCCATGTGCGCTGGCCACTCACAATAACGCTCTGTGCTTCATGTTTTATGTACAAAACACTTGACGGCATCACCCCAACCAAAGCGCGTAGCTCTGATCGACAAACATGACTTTGATGAAAACATGAAACTTCCTTCCATACTTTTTAATAGCCCTTGAATCACTCAGGAAGTGAAAAAAAGGACATGATAGACTGCAATGATAATCTCTGAAAGATTGCTTCTATACCGCCAGCAGAGAGAGCAGAATAAGATGGAAAAGCGGCAGCAACCCGGGAAAAACAGCAATTGTCCGAAGACAAATGGGTGGATAGAAAAGGGTGGGAAAGAATCAATCTTTCAAAGACTCCGATAAGTCAGATCATTAGTCATACAGTGCAAGAGGTGGAAAAAGCAATAGGAGGGATAATGAGATAGCGGGGGTGTATTTCGCCAGGCGTGCAAGCACTGGAAGCTTTTAACAATCACTAAAATGCTTCCATCTCCAAGGACGATTTTGCATAACCACAAAAAAATGTAGAAGTCTCCCCCGAAATCAAATTCATTCCTGGTACATGGAAGCGAGGAATGACTCATTCAAGACTTAAACAGCGATAGACGACTACAAGTGGGTGCTACTCAATCCCCAAATCGAGCGATGATCGGGGGCTATACCTAAGCCAGCGCCCAATCAGGCAACTACAGTTTTCATGTGCAAGGCCTGATCGGGCAGCCATCGACAGAACGGGCGCTGTTGCCCATTCGGCGATGCACTAAGAGCCATGACTGAAGGCAGTGGACAAGCAAAATGGACCCCTCTTCGGATTTGGTGGAGTTAGGTAGCAGACCCCTCAAGTACACCGTAGCCCAAACTCCACCCCAATTCATGCGCTAAGTCCAGAAAAATGCGATTCAATCACCAATGACGCCCACTCAACGGAAGTGGGGGCAGGACTGTTGGAGATTTAGATCGCATTTTTCAGGTTTCAATCAAAGCATGAATTGTCAGGTGGGGTTTGGGCTACGGTGTACTTGAGGAGTCTACTATCTAACTCCACCAAAAAGCAAGAAGGGTCAGTCCGTTTTGCCTGTTCACTGTAAGCGCTATCGCGCTCCTCCATAACTGAGACACAACTCCCGATCATCGCCCGATC